ATCGTGAGTGCTCTGAGACTCATATTCCCATGATGCCGGCACACTCATTGCATGAGCACCAAGTTGCCACCCATCAACCATCTGGTCCCTCCCTTGTCAGTCATCGTACCTCACTGCCAACAGTATGTTCCCTTTGGGAATGCCAAGTCACCGAAGGCCCCACTAGCTGTTCCTTACTGGGCTCTCATGATTATAACCTGCCACCAGTACGTGCATGCTATGAACACCAAGTAACCAATAGCAATGATATGGGATCTTCACACAATGTACAATTGCAACTGTGCACATGGTATGCTCCCCTGATGCAAGGTCTCAGTGGGGTAGCTCAGCACACAGAGGTGTGTATTTTATGGTGTGTATTTTATGGTGTGTGTAAGCAGTTAACGGAAGTTACCGCTTACCCACGTGACTATATGTACCTTGTAATTACATATGGCTTGGGGTTTGGGGCTATTGCCCTGACACCTGAGGAGCGCCAAGTACCCATGGCAAACCTATCTATCCTGGCACTTCTGGCTGCATGTAATCAAACCCTCAATAGCTCATTCCATTGTGAACCATGATTGATGGGGATTTGATCGTTTACTCTCATACTGTTAGAACTGGGCAAGGGTGGACAATTCCGGAGGGGAACCGGAGACTTAGCAAGGAGGGACCTTGGCCACAGCAACTCAAGCGGAGCGCTGTGCCATTGCTGTTTGTCCATTTGGTCCTTAATTTCATAGGCAGTGAGCAGGAAGTCTCTAGGGGGCATTTCAGGTCGATTTTAGACCAAGGGCCTAAAATGAGTATGTATGTTAAAGAAATGGGTTCTGGGTAATCTATTTCTTTCCATCCTTATAGACGACTTGGAATCATCGACCTCGTGTATGTAGGGTGGTCTAGTCATGTAATGAGTATCATCCGATAGCCATAGAGCTTTTGACAGAAAGCTGGGAACTTGCAGTGAATGGGAGTCTGCTGCGACGGATACTTGGTGCTTGTTACATGAGCGTACCATGCACAGATGTGTAGGATCACAAGTAAAGGGGATATCCCAAACTGGACCAGTCGAGGGCATGAGGCTAGCAGGTACTTGGCGCTTGAGGGAGCATACTGGTAGTGAGTGATATAACAGCTCCTTGAGGGAGCTTCCTGAGGTTGGGTTGATGGGTACTTGGCACCCAGACGGGTGTACCAGCAACGAGTGGGATTCCAGCTCCTTGAGGGAGCTTCTTGAGGTTGGGTTGACAGATACTTGGCACCCAGATGGGCGTACCAGCGATGGGGTATAAGACCGTTCGTTTGGAGAATGGTCTGTGTTCATGTCAACAGGTACTTGGTGCTTGTATGAGCGTACCGGTGATGGAGGGGTTAGTCGTTCATAGGTCAAATGACACATGGTGGGATCGGTGGCTACTTGGCGCTCATGTGAGCATACTGGTGACGAAGGGAACAGGCTTGTATCGAATACTAATCCATCCATAGAGTTAACCAGAGTCTCACCGTGTGGTGAGACAGACGAGAGCCCGGTACCTGGGTGAGTGACATGAGTCGTAACAGAAGGTGTTCGTGCATACCTGAGTTGAGTCACACGTGAACTGTTAGAGATGGGCGGAAACGGACGACTCCGGAGTGGAATCGGAGACTTAGCGTGGAGGGACCTTGGCCTCAGCGACTCAAGCGGAGCGCTGTGCCATTGCTGTTTGTCCATTTGGTCCTTAATTTCGCAGTAGGTGAGCAGGAAGTCTCTTGGGGGCATTTCAGGTCGATTTCGGACTGAAACCAGACGAGTATGTACAAGCGCCGATATATATATAAGGAAGGGGCAAAAGCACAAGGAGAACAAAGGGTGACCGAATCGGAACGAAGACGTCCGAACGGGAACAAAGGGTTAGAGGGAGCGGAGCGGTACCGAAGGTCATAGGGCAAGACCTGTGATACAACCGAAAGGAGGTAGAGTGGGCGAGGCCCAGAGGGGCAGGAGGATGAGGGGAAGTGGGGGTGATGACTAACTGGCTAGAATAGAAAGAAGCAGTAGTCCAAATAGGGATGAGGGGGAATTGCGAGAAATACATTACAAACGGCGAGAGTGCCGGAGGTGGTCCGCAAAGCTCGGGGGTTGCAGAGCTTACGGAGGTTACGGAGGCGGGGTTGGAAGTCCGAGGAATATTGGCAATGGTGTTCACGTAGTATGAGGTCACCAATGCAATGGACTAAGACCGAGGTGGAGTCAAAGTCCGAGGTATGGACTATGACGGAGGCTCGGAGTAAGGTACGAACGGTGTCCGAGTGTGAAGTACGGAACAGCGGTGGATGGTCGTAACTTGGCGGAAGGGTGGCGGAGGAGTGACGGAGGAATGAGAGAGGGGACAGGTAAGGAAGAGTAGTCAGGTCCGAAGGTGGATATCGGAACGGACGGAGAAAGCGTAGGGGATGACGGGAGGGTGGAGGTGTGGTGAGGGGGGAGCGGAGTTGTAGGAAGGGTGGCGAGTAGGGCGATGTTCGGTCCGAGATGAGTATCGGAACGGACAGAGAAGGGGTCGGAGAGGTAAGAGGAGGGGTGTGTTGCCAAGACCGAAGGTGAGTATCGGAAAGGCAGCGGTAGGTTATGACTCCGGAGGTGAAGAGGGTGGAGGTCCGGAAGTCGGGTCGGGGTCGGGTATGCACGGATATGACATGAACTTGACAATCCATGGCTAGAGTTGTCAACCTTGGTAGGGATGACCCATATAGATGGTGACCAAGACATATACAAGCTTACACAGACGTTACAATGTTGGCACAAGGAGGTTTACAGTTATTGCACAGAAGGTAGGAGTGTGTTATTCGTTAAGTTCCATCTTTCTTGGCAGTAGCCGTACATGAACGTGACGCTAACTATTGAATATGAATGATCATGAGAAGTCTTGCGAAATGGAATAAATAATCTGGCCAGCACCAAAACCCAATAAGGGAAAGCTTAGTGCGGAGTGAGTGTATAAGAAGGGGGGAACAGGGAGAATGTAAGAAAGAGATGGGAGGATGTGGACAAGGAGGACCTGCTGTGGTTGATGTTCAGTCAACATGGTTGCGAGAGACTCCATTCCTATAACAATGACAAGTGCCAGTATATAATGGAGAGGGCAAAAGCACGAGGAAACAAGGAGGATCCAAATCAGAACAAAGGTGTCCGAACAGGACAAAGGGAAGATGAAAGCGGAGTGGTACCAAAGGTCATAGGTCAGAACCGGTGGTACATCTGAAAGGAGATAGGGAGGGCGAAGCCCAGAGGGGCAGGAAGATGAGGTGAAGTGGGGATGATGACTAACTGGCTGGAATGGGAAGAAGCAGTAGTCCAAATAAGGATGAGGGGAAAATACGAAAGATACATTACAGATGGCAAAAGTGCCGAATATGATCCATGGAGCTCTGAGGTTATGGAGGTTACAGAGGTTACAGAGGTGGGGTTGGAAGTCCGAGGAATATTGGCAATGGTGTTTACATAGTATGAGGTCACCAATGCAATGGACTTAAGCCAAGGTGGAGTCAAAGTCCGAGGTCAGAACTATGACAGAATCTTGGAGCGAAGGGTGCCTGGGTACAGGGCGGAAGAGGGTCAGAGGAAGGAGAGGGGAGAGAGGAACGGGGAGAGGAGTGGAGAAGAGGAGAGGTGTCAGGTCCAAAGGTGAGTATCGGAGTGGACAGGAGAAGGGTAGGAGAGTGACGGAAGGGTGGAGGTGTCATGAGGAGTAAGAGGAGGAGGGTGGCGAGAGGAGTGGTGTTTGGTCTGAGGTGAGTATCGGAGCGGACAGAGATAAGGTAGGAGAGGGATGGAAGGGTAGAGGGGTGAGAGGAGTGGTGGTGAGAGGAGTGGTGTTCGGTCTGTGGTGAGTATCACAACGGACAGCAGTAGGGTAGGACTCTGGAGGTGGTGAGATGGGGGTCCGGGAGTCGGATCGGGATCGGGTATGTATGGATATGACACATACATGACTGGGACCTCCCATCGATTACACATCCCGTTAAGGTACAGACAAGTTCTTGTGATTGTCTTCCAGCTACAAGAACGGTTCGAGAAGGGAGAAGTTCTCCCCATCCTCATAACACCCTAGTTGTCCCTTGGCCCACATTTCACATTAGTTTGGGTTGCCTTGTTAGGGGGACAGACTGGAGGTCAAGATCTAGTTGATATTAGAATTAATCTACATAGCCTACATCTTCAAAAATGCTTCATCCAAATGAATATGTCACCATCAATGAGGTCATTGACAAAAAACGTGCTCGCTGCAGTGCCAGAGTCAGAGAATGTGGGAACCATTAACACTCCACAGATGACAGATTCCAATGAAATGATGGCAGAGGAACCTTCTTAACTGAGTTTGAATCGCCTGAAACCTGCAGCTCTATCTGAAGGTGGGCAGGAACTTGGGGGGACAGGGATGTAGTAGTGAATGAGGGCAAGTTGGACCTTACCAATGTTACTTGAAGGTGTGACGGAAAACATCAGGACCAGCCAAGCAAAAGATGGCCCCATGGAAATCTGGATGGGTCCGGAGTAGGTCATGATTGGTATACCAGTGAACTTGTGACTCATATGCAACTTCAAGCAAGCGGTACTCTGTGATCTATGGAATGAATCAGTATTAGGCCATCAAAAATGGATGGAAATTACATTCTCAGCACTAGGAACTATGGTTGTCAGCCCATACACTGTTTCAAGGAAATGGAGTGTCTTCTGCCGGAAATCCTTGAAGGTGGCAGGCTGCACCATGCTTTGTTCCTGTTCAACCATGGCAAGAGTGAGGCCATAGAGGCATTTGCATGGGCTGCATAATTTAATATGAACAACCTCATTGTTCTCATCTATCTCCTCAGGGTGGTGGTCTTCATGGGACTCCATGTGCATCTGCTGCTGAGCATCATACTCTTCTGCATGCTCAACATTCCACCTCACTAATTTTAGGACTGCCTTAGTTGGTCCTTGAGTACAATCTGGATCCAAAATAACATAAGTAACCCAAGATACTGCTAGAAACTTTACATACATGCTGGTTGACATTTTTTTTGTTACTTGACAGATATACCTGCTGGTATTCCCCATGATGTTTTTCACCTGGTTTGGTACTGACATGGATGAGGGCACCTTTCTGGAAAACATCATCAAATTCATGGGATACAGCATGGGCTTTGGGGAAGGACCAAGATTTCTGCCCATTGGGTGACAGTGGCTTAGTGTACACCTTTTTAATTGTCCCCACTAGCGTTTCAGGGATGATAAATGGCTAACAAGAGTGAGACTTGTTGTCAGCTGTGTTTGAGCTGAGTTCATACCTGTTTCATTGCATCTTCAAGCTGCTGCACAACTTGATGGCCCCACTCAAGAGTTTCATCAGTATGCACCTCAAGAGAAATAAGGACTGAGAACTCTGCAAGTGTCATATCCCGGAATCCCGACCCCACACACTCCCACTGCATCACACCTTCCTAACAACTTCACCATCCCCTACACCATGCCTCCCCACTCTCCAAGTCACCTTCCCTCCTGACTGTCTCAGCTCCGGCCTGGTTGCAGCACACCGAACCTTGGCTACTCCCATCCCGGAACCTCGGTCCCGAGTCGGAACATTCGGAGACCCCGGATTTGCTCTGATATCCTGACGGACCTCCGACATCCCATGACATGCCCTTAAACCATTCCCTCACCCACTTCATTTATTGGAGTCACCCAACATCCTTCGGACATGCAACTCCGCTTTCGGAGCTAACCGCATCCTTCGGTGATCTCCTTCACGCTATCACTTATTAGTCATCTCCCATTCTTAGCACGACTACCTTCTTACTACCATTCAGTCGGCTAACCCCCCTTACCCATTTGTCTTCCCCATTCATTTTCCAGCCTCCAACTCCGCCCTCCTTGGCCCGACACCTCGGTTCCCCGTTTTAGATATCGTCCGGAACCTTTCAGTACCTCTCGGTATCATTCGGTACCTTTCGGTGTTTTCCCCGTTTTGTCATTTCGGGCTTTGACTAAAGTCCTCCCCATCCTCCTTTATAAATACACGTAGATTAGAACCTGTAGTTCCTCAGTTCTAATCTCGACTAAAATGCCACCCAAAAGTCCCTCTGAGTGATTCCTGTCCCTGTTCTACAAGACACCTCAGACATAAGAAATACAAGGACTAACAGAGACGTAACGGAGGCACAGCACTCCCTCCGAGTCGCTGAGGCCGCGTCCTTCTTAGAGCCTCTTGTACCATCCAGCAGAACCGGGCTCCCTGAGAAGCTTCGGTTCATTACCGGAGCCCTCGGACCCCCCTCTAGTTGAGCCCTGCCTGCATTCGGACTCATGCATTTACCCCCTCTTCCATAACCGACGGGTTTTTGACAGCAAGAGTGCGAATAAGTGTTGAAAGGGGATATAGTGCTTCATTCAAATCATGGAGCCCATGCAGAACAACCTGACACCATATTAGCCTGGCATAATATTAGGATAATACTTCCTCACCTTGAGAAGGTGACTATATTTTGTGCCATCTGAGAATGACATTGAAAGGCAGTGTTCAATTCTGGCCACTGTGGAATCTCTGATATCCTAAAATTCCTGATTTTAGTGACTTGCAGTTATCATCCATTTGAGAAGCTCACCACTGCTCAAATTTTGCTCTAATAAACTTTGGATATCCTTCAATGATTCCCTGGCATAATGGCCAAATGTGGTCACCCCAGAGGCCTAAATCATTGAAGTGAAGTTTATCATATGAAACCATTGCATGAGGATCACTCCCTAGAGCCCAGAAAGCATTCTAGACTCAGTTTATTAGGGAAAAAACGATTCAGGATAATTTTGAGTCATACTGGAACCCCAGCCAAGCCAGCACTTGAGAGGATTTCAGTCACCCTTTTCTTTGTGGAGGCAGACATTGCAGATTGGAATGGTGAGTGACTGTCTTCTGATGTCTGGGCAGGCCATTTGACTGTCAGGGAGGATAATTTACTTGTGTGAACCTTGCAGTGGGGACAAGGATAATTTGCATTTGACCCCAATGTGCCTGTCAACATGGTTCTAAACAAATGGAGCACCCTCAATATATTAGCTTCAATTGTAATCATGGAGTGTCACTCACTGCTCCTCCCCATCAGCAGCAGCATCCTTCAGGTAAAAATGAATATGATGCATCTTCCCATCACCACACTGGAGCCGGGTCCCAAACTGACTGGGTTTTTTGAGAGATTCAAACACCTCAGCAAGGCTGCAATGGACCAGGTTCCAGCGATATGTTGCAAATTCAAATTTATCTTCTGCTCTTTCCTCAACCTGGAAGGATACAATTAGAGCCAAAAAAAGACATTTAGATATACTCTGCATGAGGAAGGAGTCCAATTAAGTGGCCACCTCCAAATCCAATTGTGTTCCTGATATTGCTGTGGACATTGAGAACATGCAAGATGACTGGATATGCCTTGACTGTCCCAAAGCTGGACAGTTGGGATTTGTCAGAATACACTGAAAGTGCCAGCAACACTGAAGGTGTTCCATCATTCTGTTCTGGGAGATCATTCTACCAGGGAATGGTTATTGCAAGATAATTGCCAACAATAAGAAGCATACTGTGATGTCCCAGAATTCATTAGCAGTCCAGGGCTGACTAATAAATCACATCCAACCTCCACCTGTTGACTTGTATGTCTTCTGGGGTATTGTCAGTGGACGGACCCTGTCATATCCATACAATCCTGACCTCTGCTGGGCTCCCGGAACTCCGAACCTGACTTCCGGAGTCCTACTTCCCTTCCATCACCTTCTCCTTGCCGACTCCCAAGAGGTTATCCCACCTCTGGCTCGGACACCACCTTCGGTCCAACTCTGGAACATTCCAGGTCCGACCCCAACCTCGACACCTTCCAGACAAGTACGCAAAACCTATGCTCCTGACTCCGGACCTCCGCTCCGGAATCCCATTCGCATCTCCGTCTCCGGAACCTCCGGTCTTAGCTCCGACCTCGGACTTTGACCCCACCTCCGCTTATACCCATTGTATTGGTTAGCTCATTCCATTTAATTATGTTTGCCAATATTCCGGAGTTTAACTTCCGAGTTCGGACTTTCCGGACTTACCTCGGACCTTGCAACTATTGCATTGTCCTACTCAATTCCGCTATTCTCCCTCATTCCTATTTGGGCTACTGCTTCCTTTCTATTCAGTCAGCTAGCCATTCCCCACTCCCAACCTCCTTCCTTCCTCCTTGGGCCTTGGCCCTTCACTCCTCCTTTGGGAAACACCATTGAGTCAAACCCTTGACCCTCGGTGTTGTTCCTCTTTCCATCTCCCTTTGTCTCCTTTTGTCCTACCCTCGCTCCTTTTGATTCCGGACCCCTCCTTATATACAATGTACATAGTAACTTGTAACCTCAGTCCGAAATCGACATGAATTCCCCCCAAGAGACTTTCCCTCTGCTAGATCCGAAATTAGGGACCCCTAGGACAACCAGCAATGGCACAGCGCTCCACCTGAGTCGCTGAGGCCGAGGTCCTTCCATGCTAAGTCTCTGATTCCATTCCGGAGTCGTCCAAGTCCGCCCGATTCTAACAGACCCCAGGTCCCCATGATCCCTCTCTATGGCCCACAGCCTAACCTATGAACAGCCCTGTCCAGGGCAATGACTCTACTGTGGGTAAGAAAGTGAGAAGAAGGTTAACTTCTCACTTTCCCACAGTGGCCCAATATGGCGAAAACTTCCAGGGATACCCGGAAGTCACATGAGAAGTGGGAACCGGGCCCAGAGCATGCGGTGCACGGAGCATGTGGGGCGGGGCACGCATGCGGGTCCGGGAGCGGGTCCGGATGCGGGTCCGGGTCCGGGCTAGTCAGGGTGTGTGCCCTGACAAGTATCCACTCTACTTCATGGATGTATAGTGGATCACAAAGTAGGTCAGTTAGGCACTGATGCACATTTTTGTGAAAGAGGACATGAGGCCGAATTTCAGAGTTCTCATCTGATGGAGCAACTGAGACCATCACAGTACACTCCTCAAACTAGGATCACATCAGCTGTGAGAAATATAGGTTTGGAATGGGGCACACATTTGTAAGAAGCTCTGCAGCTTTGTTGAGTGTTTTTTCAAATTCTTTATGAGTAGTAAAGGTGATGGCTGGCTGGGGACTTTGCATATGGATTTTAATGTGTGTTTCTATTGAGTGAATTGAGCAGTTATCCCCAGTCACCAGCTCTGCGAATTCAAAGTCTGCCTTGGTCACAAAGGGTGCCCAAGGATTTGAAAATGGGTTGGTATTTGGAGTAGTCTTTGCATCAAAGTGTGATGTTCCCATTTCAAATGGGGCTATCTTTGGTGCAATGCCAGAACTGTGGTGAAACTCGATTTTTAGTGACTGTGAAGGAGCCACTGCTCATAATTGTCATGAGAGTGTAGTGATGGGAATACCATGGCACAGCATACCTTGAGCTACCAGTTCTAATGGCTCTGAAGGTGATGCATCTTCTAATGGTCCCAATGGTTCTGAAGACACATCTTCAGGAGTGTTTGATCCTACAACTGTTTGTACTGAGCAACCCAGGTGAGCAAAGCACTAGAAGTCATGTTGAGCCAACACACCTGGGATACCAGCAATTGGTGTTGTACTCATTTCAGATGGCCCAGCTTTTCCCTCAATTAGGTGATTCCCTGTATTTGCCATCTTCTTCCCCATGTGTTTCATTACCATTTTCTCCTGCAGTTACATGTTTCTTCCAGCCCTGAGGGTCAAATTTTTTTTTGGTCACTGAGCAGTAGAGGTTGGTGTGGTCATGTATGGATGATGACATATTAACAAATAAGATGTGTGTTTCTTTGTGATGGTGTTGTCCAGTTGATGTCAAAGGTGAGGGTTGGACCTCTTCCCACACACCCTTAAATACATGATAGAGACACAGCACAGCTACCTAAACTGTATAGCTGGGGGAATTGGATCAAGGATTGTAACTAGATCACAGGAATGATCATCAGATCAGTGCACAGCATGGCCATCAGAACAGATCATAGGATGATCATCAGATCAAACACAGCATGGCTATGGCTCCTAGCAGATCAGAATCCATGGATTTTTAGAGGTTTGAAACAAAATCTGTATCCAGTGGTTAGAAATCCACATTGGAGGCAGCAACGCAGCATGCAGCATGCATTGGATGAATGTCAGGGTCCGTCCCTCGTCCAGAGGGGGCGTAGCAATGAGGTCCAGGAGCGGCACTGGAGAGTCTTCTCCAGCCACTAATTCCTCAAAGTCGCTGAGGGGACTTGCCCTGGGCTTCACAGGGAATGAGTTGTGGTGCATTAGGAAATAGGTAATTACACTTGCCTTCACAGGGAATGAGTTGAGAAGAAGGGTAACCTTCTCAACCCCCTGTGAGGCTGCTACAAAGGGAGCCTGGGAACTGTGCAGTTGTCGGGTCTTTCCCAAGTTTCCACATTAGGTACCATGGGAAGATTCTGGGCGAGCTGCTCACCCAGAACGTTCCCACGGGTTCACATACCGGTACCATTGTGGAACAGTGGGGGAAAAATGGGGGAAGGGTGGTTAGGAGGGGGAAAGGGTGTCTGAGGGTGTGTGGGGTTGAGGGCTGTGCCCTGACAATGAAAGTGTCATATCTGTACATACCTGATCCCGATTTGACTCCTGGACCCTTTCCACCACCTCCAGAGTCTTACCCCTATTCCTGTCCATTCCAATCCCCACCTTCAGATCTGAGTCAAAGTCCAAGGTTGGAACCATGATGGGATCTTGGAGTGAAGGTACAAGCAGTGTCCAAGTATGGGGTATGTGTCAGGGCACACCCGCCTGACCCGGGTCCACCCGGACCCACCTGGCCACACCACACCCGCTCCCCACTGTCTATCCCCCTCCCCCCTCCTTCCTCCCTCTCCTTCCCCTTTCTTTATTTCTTTCTTTTCATCTTCCTCTTCCTGTTTATTTCTTTCTATCTACACGGACCACCTTCCTTTGTATCGATGTACTATTGACCCATCCGGCCCACACACCCCGGACGGCTTCCCGCTGTGCCCAGCATGTGTGCATGCAGCGGACGCTCTCGGGATCCCCCACGGGGACACCCGGATGCCTGCGGCTGCCTCCAAGGATGACGTGGCACTCGTCATGTGACTCAAGCCGCATGTACATAAATGTACCTGAAGTGGGAATTGAAGAAGTAACCTTCTTCTCACATTCTCCACTTCAGGTAAGTAGTATAGTTCTCCCCTTTAATAATAATAACACATTCTCCACTTCAGACTGAGTGGCCAGGGACCACTGTCCCGGATCGGGCCCGCCAGTACGCACGCCCACTCCACACCCCGCAATGGCTTCAGTGCCGGATATTACCCCCGGGCCCTCTCGACCCCGGATGCATCCCTGACAGTATGGGATGGTGGTGGAAGGTCATAGCTTCGTCAAGGTTGGTAGAAGAGGAACAGAAGGAGAGGAGGGTGGAGAGGAGTGAGAGGAGTGAGGAGAGGGAGGTGATGTCAGGTCTGAAGGTGGATGTTGGAGTGGACAGGGATAGGGTAGGACTCCAGAGGTGGTGGAGAGGGGGGTCTGGAAGTCGAATCAGGATCAGGTATGTACAGATATGACACCAATCCACTACTCCCTTTGTCTCCATTTGGACACCTTTGGACCCCCTTTGTTCTTTGTGCTCCCGTCTCCCCTTTATATATAGGCTATGTACATACTCGTTTGTACCTCAGTCTAAAATTGACTTGAAACTCCCCCTTGAGACTTCACCCTAAGCTATGTCTGTGTTAGAATGCGGGGATTCGGACGACTCCGGAATGGAATCGGAGACTTAGCATGGAAGGACCTCGGCCTCAGCGACTCAGGCGGAGCGCTGTGCCATTGTTGGTTGTCCTGGGGGTCCCTAATTTCGGATCTAGCAGAGGGAAAGTCTCTTGGGGGGGGATTCCAGTCGATTTCGGACTGAGGTTACAAGTTACTAGGTACATTGTATATAAGGAGGGGTCCGGAATCAAAAGGAACAAGGGTAGGACGAAAGGAGACAAAGGGAGATGGAAAGAGGAACAACACTGAGGGTCAAGGGTTTGACTCAATGGTGTTTCTCAAAGGAGGAATGAAGGGCCAAGGCCCAAGGAGGAAGGAAGGAGGTTGGGAGTGGGGAATGGCTAGCTGACTGAATAGAAAGGAAGCAGCAGCCCAAATAGGAATGAGGGAGAATAGCGGAATTGAAATGGACAATGCAATAGTTGCAAGGTCCGGAGTAAGTCTGGAAAGTCCGAACTTGGAGGTTAAACTCCGGAATATTGGCAAAGGTGATTAAATGGAATGAGCTAACCAATACAATGGGTATAAGCGGAGGTGGGGTCAAAGCCCGAGGTCGGAGCTAAGACCGGAGGTTCCGGAGACGAGACGTGAATGGGATACCGGAGCGGAGGTCCGGAGTCAGGAGCATAGGTTTTGTGTACTCGTCTGGAAGGTGTCAAGGTTGGGGTCGGACCCGGAATGTTCCGGAGTCGGACCGAAGGTGGTGTCCGAGCCGGAGGTGGGATAACCTCTTGGGAGTCGGCAAGGAGAAAGTGATGGAAGGGAAGTAGGGCTCCGGAGGTCGGAGTTCGGAGTTCCAGGAGCCCGGAGCGGAGGTCGGGATTGTATGGATATGACAGTCTGAAAACAAGACAAACAGCAATGGCACAGCACTCTGCTTGAGTTGCTGAGGCCAAGGCTCCTCCATGATAAGTCTCTGATTCCACTCCAGAACCATCCATACCAGCACCATTCTAACAGGTCCCCACCTAGACTTCCCATGTATCTATATATACCAAACTTGTAGATACTGGAAACCTCAGTCAGAAAATTGACTAGAGTTCCCCCTTCCTAAGAAGACTCTCCCATCTGTAAATTAGGGCACCAATGTGTTACTTGGCACAGCACTCCTGGCTGAGTTGCTGAGGCTGTAGCCCTCCAAAACTGAGTCTCTCTGTCATGACCCAGTGTTCCCTGGGGTCAGACGACCTCCTCCCTGACCTTTTCCCATGCCCAAACACTCCCCACACACTCTGCTCGCCACCTGTCACTGTCCAACTACTCCCCACCATGTCTTGACGTTCCCTCCCCTAATTGTTGTTGAACAACCTAGCGGTGCAGAGTGCCATGCCCTCTTGTTCCATGTTTCACTGCACCCCTTTATCTCATGGAAAAGGTCATGGTTGACCTTCACTGTCTTGACCACATGCTTGTTTGTTTTCCTTTTCTTTTCTCCACCCACAATCTCCATGAGATCTGGCAACTTATTTTCTATTCAACCCTTTAATGCTTATATACAGCTTGTACCCATTGCTTGTAGAGTTCGAAATCAACTAGAATACCCCCCCTAGTGTCAGGGACGCATCCAGGGTTGAGGCGGTCCAGGTATAGCACCTGGCACTGAGGACCTCATGGGTGTCAGGGATCAGCAATGACCCTGGACCCTATGCTGGCAATTCCTGTCTACTCCAATTACCTCAGCCCTGGTAGCCTGGATCATCTCTGGCATTGTTCTGGAACATTCTATGATCATGTGATTCTATCGGCAATCTGTTTGGTTTCCTTATTGCCAGACTCTACATGTATATAGCTGACTCTAAGATGGGGACATTCCTTTCCCCCAGCTTTACACAACTAAACTAGGCTATTGGAGCAACCTGCACAAGGACACATGTCCCCTGACAGCAGGGGGTGGATCGGGCATGCGTACTGGTGGGCCCAATGTGGGACAGCTGTCCCTGGCCACTTAGACTGAAGTGGGAAAAGGTGTATTGTTATTAAAAGAAAAGCTAAATTAAGTTAGGATACTTGCCTGAAGTGGGAAAAGGTGAGAAGAAGGTTGCTTCTCCGGTTCCCACTTCGGCTGTGTTTATATACATGTATCCAGGGTCATGTGTGGAGTGCCATGTCACTCTTGCACACAGCCACAGCCATCCGGGTGCCTCGGTGGGAGGTCCCAGGGGCATCTGCTGTGGGTGCATGATGAGAGTGCACCCGGGTTGACTGGTGTGCCTGAGGCTGGGCACATCATGCACATGGGTTGTGGGTTAGTAGTACATTGATACAGAGGAAGTTGTCCATGTAATGAAGTGAAGTGAAGTGAAGAAAGGGGGAGGGGATGGAGGAGTGGTAGGGAAAGAGAAGCAGAAAGAAAAGAAGAAACAGGGGAAGGGGCACTGGTGGAGCTGGGTCTGGGGGCAGGTGGACACAGGTGGACCCAGGTGAGTGGGTGTGCCCTGACACCTAGCTCGCCTCCATCCCCTGTAAGACCTCTGCCCTCTGAAGTATCAGGACCATGTCAAGAACAAGGTGCCATGCTCCTACAGCTATCATTGGTGAGACTTCATGCAATTCTGACACTCTCCCTCTTTTCGAATCCACATCTCTGATACAGGTCCCCAGCACCACTATACTGGGACACCTTCCCCCTTGGACCTGTCCCTGACAATCTCCTGACATAGTCATGAGCTTGGAATGATCATATACATGCACACAAAAGATTGGAGCAAACACAGATATCACAAACACAAACTCAAACTTTACAGACATAAACAAACAAAGGTTTCCTTATGAAAGAAGGCTATTCATTACCAAGTTCCTGCACTCTGGCCTCTATGGCCTCCACGGCCCCTGACACCACCTCGCCTCTGACCTCTCCTCCTATGACT